AGTGAGCATTAACCAATATCTCACATTAAACAGAGGACTAACGGTAATATTAAATATGGGTCAAGCTGCATATATAGTCATTGATAGGTACTATATTTGGGGACAGTTTCTGACAACTCATTTCTAAATTTCAGAGTCCATTGACAGCCCTCTATGATGCTAAGCAGCACAGCTTGTGGGGGAGGTAGGGGCGGGTCTCCTTGGTCCTGAGTTCCATGTCTGTTCCAGGCCATGGAGGGTGTGTGTTTGGGAAGTAGAAGTGTGTGCAAAGATGAGGGAGTAACTGACCTCCCCCACAGGAGGTTTTCACAGAGGCTACAGGGGAGACTTTGAGCCAGGCCTTGAAGAATGAGCTATTGTCCATCGGAGGGAGAAGGCAGGGAAGGGTATTCCAGGTAGAGGGAACAGCATGTGCAAAGGGATGGAAGCAGGAGAAAGCAGAGTGTATTCAGTGAGAGTAACGCTTTGTAATATCTGAGGGACATATTCAACTAATAATGTTAGTTATAGAATGGGCACTCATGGCTACATGCATTACTTGTATTAACCCATGCAATTCTGAAAATGATCGTGTGAGGTAGATACTATTATCACCATTGCATAGACATAGAAACTGAGGCACAAAGAAATAATCTGCTCAAGGCCACAGAGCTAAGTAATGGAATCAGAAATTAACTGGCAATTTCAATAGAATATGACAATACTTCAAAAAGCTTGGAGAAAAATAGAATTAAAAGATAATACAAAAATTTCCATGAACTTTTAAAAGTACCCTTGTATAAGCAATGTCCCGGAGGTTGTGGGGTACAAGGTTGGGAGTGGGATCTGAATTCTGCCTGTGTGTGAATCCCAGTTCCTCCACTTCCCAGCTAATCTTGGGCACTGTAACTAACCTCTCTGTGCCTCTGTGATGCCAGTACTATGTCTCAGAGCATCATTGTTAGGACTGTGCTGGATGCTGGGGATACAATGGCAAACAAGTATACATGGCCCCTGCCCTAACGTAGTCTGTGGCATGCATGATGACAGTCACCAAAGTGGCTTGGGATTGCCCTCGGCATGCTTCTGTCTTAGTCTGCTGGGGCTGCTAGGACAAAGGCCCATAGACTGGGTGGATTGAGAACAATAGGAGTTTATCTCTCACGGTTCTGGAGGCTGGGATGTCCAGGATCAAGGTGCCAAATGATTTGGTGTCTGGTGAGGACCTGCTTCCTGGTTCATAAATGGTTGTGTCCTCACATGGTGGAAAGGGAGAGGGTCTCTCTGGGGCTTCCTTTATTAAGGGCACTAATTCCACTTACAAGGGTTCCACCCTTATGACCTAATCACCTCCCAAAGGCCCCACCTCCTAATACCATCACCTTAGGGGCCAGGATTTCAACATATGAATTTTGGGGAGACACGAATATTTAATCTACAGCATCTTACCACTGGGTTCTGGATCACACTTATCTCTGAATTATATGCATCACCGCTACTGTGCTATATGCTGCATGAGGGTATGGTTTAGGGAAATTATGCAGGTTTTAAAGTTTGTCTCTGCCATTGAGTTAGTGGTGTAACTTCCCCATCTCAGCTGCGTCCTCAGTGATACAAAGATTATATAATAGAACCTACCCCAAGCTGGGGAATGGGGGGAATAATCAGTCTCTGGCATCGTGTGGCATAGAACAGACCCTCAACAAATGCTTGCCCCCCTCCCCTCCCCCTCATGCAGTCTTCGCATCTTACTCATCTGGAACCTCCCACAATGCCTTGCAGAGAGCAAGTGCTTCAGACAATGCTTGGGACGTGGATGAAGGAAGGCTTGTTTTAACTTTAGGCCCTGAGATGGATCTGAGGACATTAAAACAAGCTGCAGAGAAGGAGGGAGGGAAAAGGGAGGGTGAGCGGGTAGCTGGGAGGGGACCTTTCCATTTTCACTGTAAACACAGTCTCAGCAAGGCAGACAGAGAATAAAGGCAGAGCCCAGGGGCTGGGCAGGGGAGTCTGGAAGGTCCCCAGTAGCCAGGAAAAACCGAGGAAGGCAGTGGGTGAGGAGTGGGTGGGGCTCCCCAGTGTGCAGTGCTGCAGTGCCCTGTGCTCACAGCCGGTGCGTGACTTCCCTGAACCCCGGGCAGGCGGGTGGGTGAGGAGGGAAGCAAGCGTGGCTGAACAGGGCTGCAGAGTGAGCTGGTGTTTGTGAGAGGAAGAGAAGGGTCCTGCTGGGGGCTAGGCCTTGGATCATGATGATGGTAGCAAAGGACTAGTTAGAGCCTGGGCACTCGACATCCCTTCTGTGATGGCAAAAATACAAATCTCTCATGCTTGTCAAGGGCTTTGTAATTTCCACAGCCTACAGGATGACCATGGAGTCACCCATCTGATCCATGAGACATCTGGGCAGGTATCATGATCAACAGATGCCATAGTACCCATTTGATGAGTGGGGACATTCAGGGTGCCAATGGGACTATGATGAACATGCGGTAGGGGTATATACAGAGATGAGAGTGCAATTAATTTCTCCTGCTGCTAAAAAGGGCACACTGAGCTGGACCTGGAAGAATGAGCCATTGTCCATCCGAGGGAGAAGTCAGGGAAGGGTCTTTCAGGCACAGGGAACAGCATGTGCAAAGGGATGGAAGCATGAGGAAGAAAGGTATATTCGGCAATAGTAATAGGAATTATTGCTAACGTATATTGCGAGCCTACCATGTGCTAGCACTGTTCAGAGGGTTTCACATGCTGAACTCAGCAAATTCTCACAACAGCCCAATCTGGTAGATGCTACTGTGATTTCCACTTTACAGACGATGAAACGGAGGTACAGAGAGTTAAGTGATTTCCTTAAGGTTGCAGGGGTAACAAGTGGTGGAGCCAGGACTGGAACCCACTCAGAAGGACAGGCAGACAGTGTGGTCAAGGTGGTAAGGGCTAGGCAGGAAGGGATGAAGCATAGGGCTAGAGAGGTAGGGTGGGAAATGATAAAGGAAGATGTTGGGATTCTATCCTAGAGGCAATGGGAGCCACTGATGCTCTAAGCAGGAGAACGTTAGAAAGGTCAGTGTGGCACAGGGCAGAGGATGAACAGAGAGAGAGAATAAAGCCATCTGGGGTGTGCTGGGGAGGTAGCCCGACCCTCTATTCTTACATGAGAGCCAGACAGCTTTTCCGTCTGGATAACCATCACCCACCCTGGAGCTCAAGTTCACACACCATCACGTCATGGATTATACTATTTCGCAAACTTTTCCTGGTAGACAAGAGCTCCACCTGGCCCTATCACACGACTGATACCTCCCGTATCACATTCTGCGTGCCCAGTGACTGTGTTTCGGCTCTTTCTATAGTCCCTGAGTTGCTAGACGTTCTTTACATCTTTATTTAATGCACTAGCTGGGGTTCCTTTTTCCCTTAGGGGTGCAGGCCAGTACTAGAGTCCTTAAAAGGCATTTCAGAAATTCTCAGTGGAAAGCTTTCTACTGGGTGTAATCCTAGACAAATACCTGCTCCCTACTTTTTGCCCTGCCTTGCCTTTTTCCTCACATAAAGATGGGCTGTCCCTGCCAGGCAACCACAGCGGCAAGTCAGTCAACACGCCTGCCAGTCCCAGCCTTGAACTGTGTGACCTTGGGTGAGTCACTATATCTGGGATGCACCTGAGAAAAAGGAGGTTGTACTAGACAATATGAGCAACATCTGAAAACCATGTTTGCTATTTCTAGAACCTTACTTCCAAATGTCTGATTTCATTCATTTGTTCAACACATATTTGTAGAGCCAAGCACCATGCTCGGTGCCAGGAATACTGTGGTGTGAGATGGAGAGAACCCTCACTCTCATTCTGGCTCATTGTACACAGTAGTCGATTCCACTCAACATCCATGTACGGAGTGCCCATTTCCTACCTGATCTGCTAGAAGTTATGAGAGACAGTGAAGATTAAGACATGGTGCTGGCTATAAGCAAGCTGTTTATCCAAATTCTCCTCAAGGGGAGACCTCAGCCAGCTGAATATGGATGGAGGACTTCCTAAAAGGTGCTGCTTTTACCCTTCACCTGTAATTACAATCAGATAAGTAGCCATGCCAAACCCAGTTCCTTTTGGGCATAGCTTCCAGGTCAACCCAGTGCCCCAGGAGCAGTAGAGCTGTGAAACAGACATGGCTCAGTGTGCCCACCAGGTGGCGGCATTCCAGCATATTCCCAAGCAGCTGGGGCACCGAGAAACTACACCCTCTGTTGGCGTGGAGGGGAGTGACCCCTTTATCTCTTAGAGGAGCTGAGAGTGGGTCTCATCTCCAGTGTCCAGTCAAAGTATTGACCTTCTGGAAAGTCTTGGAGTAGGTGGTGGGGAGGGGGATGGGAGGAATAGTGGTTGGGCAAAGGGAAATGGCACTACATGTTGCCTTATTCAATCTAACAAGGCTTTCTGGGTGCCTTCCCTGAGTCCTCCTGTCTCCAAGGCTACCTTCGATGATGATCTCTGTGCCCCTCCATCAGGACACTGGCCATGTTGAATTTGCATCGTGGATCTACCTGTCATTCTCTTTCGTTCAGCTGAGAACACGACCATTTCCTCTTGGAATTCCTGGTGCCTACACAGAATCTGGCCCAGAGTAAGGATTAGAGCTCTTTGTCGAATGAATGAAGCTTATTCTAAGCAAGAATGTAAATCAGACTCTCACTTGAGTACCAACACCCTGGTGAGGGCATGTGGGACCATTTAATACCCCTGGCCTCAAAAGTGGAAATTGCAAGATGGGAGACAAAGATGAAAGGTTCTCTAATGAGTCATTGGAGAAATGACCAGAACCAACTTTACATCTACCTCTATCCACAAGATTTCAACTTTGCACACATCAGCCAAGGTGAAGAAGATGGAAAATCCAGATTTAGTGGAGTCTGGTGCCCGTTGGACAACTCTGGCCTTTAATCTGGGTTTTTACTTTATTTGCATCTCTAACCAGGGAGGGAGGCAGGAATTGGGTCTACCACTTGGGACAAGCAGGTTCAACCTGCTTCTCTGCCACCTTCCGTTTGGGCTCCCCGACCTTGCCATCCGGCATCTCCATCTTCCCGCTGCAGTGCCAGCAAAGAGAAAAGCAGTCGGAGCTCCTGCGAAGGGCCCAGGCTCCTTGCATTCCAGGCGTGGCCAAGCCAGCCCGGGGACAAGTGGAGCGCCCCTCCTGGAGGAAGTGATTCAGAAACCACGATGGCCTGGCGGCTCGCCGTGACTCACAGCACATCAATGGGGGAATTGTCTGTGGAGGCTGAGAATACCAAAGCTCTTTTCTTTCCTTCCTTCCTTTCTTTTTTTTCTTTCTTTTTGCCCTCCCCTTGGCGGCATTGTGCAACCCCAGGGCTGCCCAGAGACATGTGTTTCTCATTATTGGCTCCAACAGCCGCCTTAGAGGACTGGAGAGAAAACAGGACAGAGAGGGAACAGGACACAAGGGGACCTGCAGCAGTCGAGAGGGGCCCTTCTCTCACCCCACAATTTTCTCATCAACACCAACATCTCAAAGCGTTTCTGGAATGGTAGAGAACAGAATTTTGAGTCTGGGAGAGAACTTAGAGTATGCTCTTCCAATACGTTTGACTACACATGAGGAAACTGAGGCCCCAAGAGGGGATGTAAGATGGAAGTGGCTTGCCAAATGTCCCACAGCCAAGTTGCAACTTGCTGCGGCGACTGCATTTTCTTAGACCCCAATCAGGAAACGTCATTTGACAAAGGATAATTTTTTCATGGATTGTGAAAGATGAAAAGTCACACCAGGTGTAGTTATAGATCTATCGATTATCCCTTTCCCTTTATCTACCAGTCTAGGGAGAATGTTCTGCACAAAGTCATTTGCAAAATCTCAAGGCGTTTTCACAGTTCTCATCTGACTGGGTATCTCTGTAGTGTGTGAAATTGGTGCCCACTGGCTTCCAGGCTTCACCTGTTTTCCCTCCGACCTCTCTAGCTCCTGCTTCTCACCATCCTCTGATCCTTCACGGCTCTCAAATGGCCGAGTTCCATAGGGCTGTGTCCTAGGCTTGCTTCTCTTCTCATTCCTATCCATGTTCCTGCTTTCAGTGACTACCAACTAGCTGAAGACTTCCAGGTCTTACCTGCAGCGCACTGGTCTTTCCTGAGCTGCAGATGTAGACGGACAGCTGCCTTCTCAGCACTTCCCTAGGATGCCCCACACTCAACTCACTATTTTCCTCCAAAACTTTTTGACTCCTTCGGTTTTATTGCCAAGCAACCATGGGACCAGTACAGTTAGTGTTCTGGAGCACATGCTTTGGTATCAAGACTCGGCTTGACTCCCAGATATGCCACTTAACTAGCTATGCAGCCTTGGCCAAGTTACTGAACCTTCCGATTTCCTCATCTGTAAAATGGGGATAATAAAAATACCTACTTCATAACGCTGTCATTAAGAGGAAATGAGCTAATACAATAGCATGAGCATAATGATTGGCACATAGTAAATGCTCAGTTAATGTTCAGTGTTATTTTTCTCATGCATCTCAGCACCCCCCACACTAAATGCCACCATTTCTCAAAGACAGATGGCCCTTTTATGGCTCCGGGCCATCCACCTGGCTTCAGATGCCTTTCATACTCTTCTCTGAGGCAAACTCCTACACCTGGCAGATGGAATTCAACGGCCACTTCCCTTAGAAGGAGTTAGCAGCCTGTCCTTTGGCTCATGGCGCACTCTGTCTGTGCCACTGCCATAGCACTCACTACACTGAGTCCTAATTACCCACTTTTTTCACGGTTTCCCTCATCACGCTTGCTGCAACTGCTCACAGCTGCTGAGAAAGCCACACGCTTATGCATCTTCACGCCTTCTCACGTGCTGCCTGCTCTGCTGGGGAGACCTTTCTTTTCAGTGCCCGTCATCCTCTTAGAAGACATCCCCTGAAGAAATCTTCCTGGGATCCCAGGGCTGGGCTACTTGTCCCTTCTTTGTGCCTTCCATGAGTTTCTATAACACAACTCGCTGTACTCCATTTTCAATGCCAAATTATCCATCCTCCCCATTAGACTTTACGGTGCCTAAATATTCACTGAACTCGTGCTGTGTACCAGGTGCTGTGCTTGGTACTGAATCGCATGAGTGGATGAATGAGCTTTCTGTTTCCATGTCTATTCTCCCTCCAGGCTGTGTGCTTCTTGGGACACACTGAAGATGCCAAATGAATGAATCAAAGGAGAGGAGACAGGAGCTGTCATGGAAAGGATCCGCTAATGGTCACGAGCTAGGCACTAGACAAAGATTTGTTCTTATAGTAATATTCATTCCACCACCACTGAGTGAGGAATGAATGAATCAAAGGAGAGGAGACAGGAGCTGTCATGGAAAGGATCCGCTAATGGTCACAAGCTAGGCACTAGACAAAGATTTGTTCTTATAGTAATATTCATTCCACCACCACTGAGTGAGCACCTACTGTGTGAGCTGTGTGATCATGAGCCGTGCTAGGTACTGGTGCCGTAGCTGAGCAAGAAGCCTCACTGTCTAGTGGGGAAGACAGACAAAGGAAACCAAGCCTATGGGTCAGTGTGGTAAGTGGCATGATTATGTTTGCAGAGGGAGACTGACAGCAGGGCCAGCTTCTTGGGCATGTGACTTGTGCAGTTTCACAAGAGCCCCTGCACTCAGAAGACCCTGTGCTTGGTTTAATGCTCTGCTGCTGCCATCTTGAAGTTCGTAATAAGTTCACCTTTGAACTTGTGCTTTGTAAGTGATGACTAATGGGACAAAGAAGCGTGTATATGAGTGAGGGGATACGTGCAGGTTGCATGTCCACGGCTGTTCCTTGCTGCCTTGTTTGCACATAGTCTCCTTGGTGCCCTGGGAGGACAGAATCCCAGTGGTCCTGTGATGCATGGGCGGTCAGCCAGACTCCAGGCATGTACAAGGTAAGTGTGTTACATCAAAAGCTGAGTACACAGGGAGCACAGACAGCCTTGAGAGGCCACGCTTTCTGTTTGTGCCAGAACTTGCTTCAAAGGCAGAAAGAAGTCAATGGTGTTCTAAGAAAAATGAGCAACCTGGAGACCCTCTCATGGTCTTTCTTACTAGCTTAGGTTGCAAATGATGACACAGGCAGAAGGAGAAAGATAGAGCAACCCATAGTTCCTTTTACTTTCAGTCCTTCCTTAGTCAACAATTTATCAAAAGTAGAGAGTGTTAGTAGGATGCATGTGTATCAAGAAGTGAAATCAAAACAGCTGAGTTAGCTTTGTGCAGCATTTCCACTCTCCTGGTAAGAAGGAAATTCATGTGCATATATGAGCTACGAGATATTAATTGTTTAATATCGTTGCTTCTGCGTATGAGTTAAATGTTCTTACATTTACATTTAAAATTTGGCATGGCACAATATAAAAGTAAACAGTAAAATTCATGCTAATAATGTAAAACTTTATTTATTTATTTACCTTAGAATGACATTAAATGGCAAATAAAAAAAACACCACGACTAGTCAGGAGAGAGACTGAAAGAAAGAAAAAACTTTATATTTCAGTACCTTTAATGGAATTTCCCCTCCCCTGCTTTGAAAAAGGGACCTTCCAAATTATGTAGCCACACCGACTGAGAGAGAGGGAAGAGTCTTGGGATTTTAGACTTGAGTGGTGGATATGAGAAGTCTTAGTGGTCCCCGGGTCAGGCCTGCTCTGCCCACTGCCCGCCATATTGCATGTGAAGAAGCAGAGAACTAGAGAGGTCTCAAGGTCACAGTGAAGCAAGTGGACAAGCCAGGTCTGGAAGGCAGGCTGCCAGCCTCCATTCCTTCCTCGTCTGAGTTCTTCACTTCATATGTGCTCCCCCTTCTGTCGGGTATCCCACCCCAGGACTTGGAAATAAGATTTCTCCTTTGCAGACTAAGCCATCCAATCAAGTACTTGCATGACATGCAAAGTGATATGCTTTCCGTCCCAGGCCAGGGAGACTTGACCAGCTCTTACTTGAAAGTAATAACTTGTGTTCGGGGGAAATCAGTGGTCAGTGTTTGGTCCTCATCTTTCCTGACTTGGCAGCAGCATTTAATCTCGTGCTTTTCCTGCAGACACTTGCTTCCCTTGGCTTCAGGACGTCATGTTCTCACACGCTCAGTGCCCTCTTGGTCTCCACCGCACGTTCCTCCCACTTTCCTGACTTTGTAACACTGAAGGGTCCCGGGTGTTGGTTCTCGGACCTTTTCTCTTTGTCTGTCTCCCCTCATTCCCGTAGTGATCTCATCTAGTCTAATGACTCTAAACACTATCTATAGCGGATGACTCATCTATTTGTATTTCTATAGCCTTGACCTCTCACCGAATTCGTTCTAACACATCCGACTGCTTACTCGACATCTCCACTCTGATGTCCAACTGGAAACACACATTCAATATCCAAGCACTGAGCCCTTGCACACCCCTCCACCTGCAAACTGCTTCCCACTTCAGGTAATGGCATCTCAATCCCACCAGTCGCTCAGGCCCAAACCTTAAGGTTGTCCTGACTCCTCCATATCTTTCACACGCCACATCCAATCTGCAGAAAATCCGAAAGGCTCTGCCTTCAAAATACACCCAGAATCTGACCATTCCCCACACCATGACTGCTCTACCTGGGTCTGAGTCCCCATCATCCTCCTGGGTTATTCCAATAACCTCTGACTTGGTCTCCTCATTTTGGCCCTTGTATCTTTTACCCAGAACGATGTCCTTAAACCGTGTCAGACTGTGTCACCCCTCTGCTCAAAACCTCCCAATTGTTTCTCATCTTCCTCTAAAAAACAGCCCAAACTGAACAACCAGCCAAGCAAGCCGCAGAGCCTTACAGCATCCAGCCCCCAGGGCTCTCGGACCTCAGTTCCTCCTTGTCCCCCTTGTCCCCTCACCCTGCTCCAGCCATGTGGCCTCCTTGCTTTTCCTCCAACTCACTGGGCACTCTCCCGCCTCAGGCCCTTTGTCCTTGCTGTGCCCTGTCCCTGGAGTGCTCTTTCCCCAGAAATCTGCAAGGCTCACTCCCTATCCCTCCACCCCCGTTGTTATTAAATGTCACCTTATTGAACATTGTGACTTACTCTTTTCCTCGTGCACATTATCTGTCTCCCTTCCCTGATTTTTATTCCCCATAGCATTTATCCGCATCCAACAGGCCATCTAGTTTACTTTATATTCTGTTTATTGTCTGTTTTCCCCCACTGGAATGTAATTGCTTGTTTGCCTCTTTTTGAGTATTTTATCCAAGTGTCTGAGCCTGACATGCCGAGGGCTGGGGTCTAGCTCACCCTGTGGCCAAGGACTTGCCGAGGTATAAGGGACCCCTTCCCCCTTGGCCATACCCGTGAGCCTCTTTGACTTTATATTCCAGCCTCTACCCGGGATGTCCTTTTCCTCTTTCTCTGGGTTGAAAACCATGCGGTTCCTCAAGGTCTGGTTTAAAAGTGACGTCCTCTTGGAAACCTTCCCTGCCCATCATCTCTCCTGACCTTGACTGACCTTCACTTTACTAGTAAACTAAGCAAAACACAGGCAGGTGAACCCCTTATGTGACCACTCATGGAGATGGAAATGAACACACCACGAAGTACGCACTGGTCCACACTTGGAAGGCCACCCAGCAATCTGGCAAATTAAAATGTGCACACCCTTTGACCCAGCAATCCACTTCAAGGAACTTATCCTACAAAAAGACCTGAGCTAGTGTATGAAGATCAGCATGCAGGACTTTGCAGTCCTTTTGTATTGTCAGCAGGAGTCAGTTTAATACACTTTAGTCCTATAGACTGCTCCTTGCTGATGGAAAAATACATCGAGATATTTGTTAGGTGAAAAAAACTAAGTGTCAAATAATATGCATAGCATTATCCCATCGTTCTTAAAGAAAGCATGATGGAAGGAAGGACAGAAGGAAGTAAGGGAGGGCGAGAGGGAGGGAGAAAGAAGGAAGGGAGGAAGGGAGGGGTGGTATGTTATCCTGAGATTTGGCTCTAAAGTGTAAGAATAAGACAAAAAAGATGCATATGGTGAAAATTACCCTTGAACACCCCTAATATAGCCTATTAAAGACAGTACAAAGCTCTACCATCTCTCAATGTTTTCCTGCAGTATTAGAACAGATTTCTGGTGTGTCCATTGAGCACCAGATAAAGTAGTGATTAGACTTCATATTCCAGCCTCTACCTGGAATGTCCTTTTCCTGTTTCTCTTTTGGGGCCATGCTGCATGGAAAATACCCACTGTGTTGTAAATGCTAGAATGTTCCTCAATACCAGTTCCTGGGGAACAGCAGGTCCAGTCCCCACTTCTTGTGTCTCTTCTGGAGTATATATTCGTGGACAAAAAAGAAGGGGAAAACTTCCAGCACTTCTTAAATTGCTTCTTTCCCTCTCTCCCTCCTTCTGTGTCTGTATTTCCTCTGAGCATACTAAATATGTGTTCAATGTAACTTGACCATATGTGCACACATACGCATTGTTTGTTTTTTACTGTATGCTGCTTTGCAGTGTTTGAATTTTACAAATGTTTGAAAAATCACCTCATAGATGCAGAAATGTAAACACTGGGTGTCTAAATTAGGTTTTTTTAAGTAATCAGTTATTTAAAAGTGTTAAGAAGGAATCGTCGATGATAAATTGTTAAGTTGTTATCTTTTCAATGAAAATGTCAATTACACATACGCATTGTTTGTTTTTTACTGTATGCTGCTTTGCAGTGTTTGAATTTTACAAATGTTTGAAAAATCACCTCACAGATGCAGAAATGTAAACACCGGGTGTCTAAATTAGGTTTTTTTAAGTAATCAGTTATTTAAAAGAGTTAAGAAGGAATCGTCGATGATAAATTGTTAAGTTGTTATCTTTTCAATGAAAATGTCAATCTGTTTTGTCGGCCCTCCCTTCCTTCCTGCCTTCCATATTTGTTGTTGTGGAGCTGCAGGTATTTCAAGGAGGTAGCAAGTCCCTTGCAGAAGTGATGTAATGAGACTGAGCATGAAATTAGGACTATCCAGACATAATGCACAGTACACTAAAATGCTACAGGTGAGTTTATCTGGGGACAAGGACAGGGAAGAGGTAAGGAAATTGGTTTTTGTCTTCACACTGTCCTCTGCTCCCCGGGATCTGCCATCTGCCCCACACAAGGCCTTAGTGTTCAGATGCTCTGCTGATCGCTCGCTGGATTCAAAGCGGGGCCTGGCTCGCAGTGCCCTGTGTCTCTAGGAACCACACGACTGCACAGACTCACCCTTGTATGTGACACTCTTAGCACGGTCCTGGAACACAGTAGATACTTCATAAAAATAGTTGGCATTTATCGAGCTCTTACCACTTTGACTTGGGTTACTTTTTATAATCTCTCAAAAGTCCTGTGAGGCAGGTATGTAAATATATATTTAGTAGATAAGGAAACTGAGTCATAGACAGGGTAAGTAATTTCCCGAGGCTTGTAGATCTGGGATTTGAACCAGGCTCTTAGACTCTAGGGCTAGTCCTTTTAACCATCACCCTTTACTGACTCCAAAATCTATGTGTTGAATGAATAAATGAATGCTGTGAGGATCAGACTTGCCCTTATAAGGGTCCTGTCAGGAGATATTTCTCTAATAAAATAGGGATAGAAGTAAGTATGTGGGGTGGGGTGGGGAGCTGAGTTGTTCACACGTTTTAGCTTG